CTCTCTCTCTCTCTCTCTCTCTCTCTCTCTCTCTCTCTCTCTCTCTCAGCTGGACGGATACATCGCCAGGACCTGGCCCGGGCAGAAGTCCGCGTTGGGAAGCGCCCTGGACCCGCTGGCGGACAAAATCCTCATCAGTGTTTTGTACCTCAGCCTGACCTACGCCGAGCTCATCCCAGGTACGCCTCTCCCTCTCTTCCCTAGTGGAGCTCACTGCCCCCCCCCCAACTTCCTGTCCGACGTTAACCGCTGTCCTCTCTTTCAGCTCCGCTGACGGCTTTAGTAATTTTCAGGGACATTGGTTTGATAGCAGCCGTGTTCTGGGTCCGATACAAGACCGTACCACCACCGGTGAGCAGAAAACACCCCATACTCCCCCAAATAAATGTGTTTTAACTGTTAGAATAATTGTACAAGAGTTATCATGCATTATAAAAATGCGGTGCGTCTATTTTTGGCCTCTTACAGCAATGACTTTAGAAGTGTTTAGGGGCATAACCCTGACATTAACCCATTTACGTTATGCTATTTTCCCTGCAAACCCGCCTGTTGTTCAGTGGGGAAACCTTTTGATTTCCTTCTATCCTCTCTGCAGGTGACCCTCAGTAAGTTTTTTAACCCCTGCTACACCACGGCCCAACTCAAGCCCACCCTCTTCAGCAAGGTGAGCTTATAAGATAAGAGCTTTATTGATCTCACAGTGGAGAAATTCACTGGTCATACATTGGTTATAGTTCAAAAGGAGGAAAAGGTGCATAAAGTACAAACAGCCAAAACAAACAAATACAGAAGGAAGCAACACAGCGCAGAGATTTGAGTGACTAAAATATATACAATCATTGATGGCTCACACACAGTACACATATTACACAGGTCAATAAATATATTACAATCGCACAGCAGTTTTTATAGTGCAGCATTGTACAGTCTGGTAGCAGCAGGAATGAAATCTCTTTTACACACAGGGTGTCTAAGTCTTTTACTAAACGAGCTGCTCAGCTCCTCTACAGTGTGATTATGCTTCATCCTACTCCTTTTTTTTAAAAACATGATGCATGTTTATGAAGCATTCAATGTAAACATTGTTAAATCATATCATGTTTCAAAATAAATTAAATGAAAATAAAAATGAATCCCAGTTCTGACCCGGCAGCCCGAACAGGCCCGTCACACAAAGCTGCTTTTTATCTTTTGAATCGGATAGATTGATGAATCTGTTGCTTAAAGCAGAAACAAATCTGCGTAACTTTATCAGCTCATTTTCAGATATTTAAAGGTTGTTAAATTACACATTTTCTGAAGCGTCAGTCTTAAAGGCACTCTGAAAATGGATAAAAGATGTGAAATCTAATGTAAAAGCTACGTCTCAAAATTGGTTGAGACTTTGAGACTATGAGTATATTTCGGCCCATTTTCTTGTCGTCTTTGTACTTTTCAGCATTTTTCTTTCTTTTATAGGATTTGTTTTTGTTTATATGAGCGATCTTGTAGCCTTTTTTCCTTTTCTTCTCAGTATTTATGTGTCATGTTGACTTCCTTTTTGCGGTAAAGCGCTCTGCGTTACATTTCTATTTTTAAAAAAGCTCGTTATCCAGATGGTGAAGCCTGTCTGGTCCTCTGTGTCTTTGAAGGATAAAACCGTCAAAACCTTGAATCTTTGTCCTCCTCCTCCAGGCCAACACGGTGATCCAGCTCTTCCTGGTTGCAGCTTCTCTGGCAGCTCCGGTCTTCCAGTACACAGACAGCATGCTGCTGCCCTGTTTATGGTAAAGCCCGTAAAGCCCAAAACCAACACCTCTGACAAAGGGACTGAAAACAGCTCTGATGTGTCACATAGATCATCAAAATGTTTATGTTCATGAATTTGGCAGACGCTTTTATCCAAAGCGACTTACAGAGTAGACACTAGGGTTGTCACGATACTAAAATGTTCAACTCGATACCGATACTCAGGAAAATACTCGATACCATTTTCGATACCACAAAGATAAAAACAAAGACCCCAAAATTGAACTGTATTTTTGACAGGTTAGTGTCTTTTGTTTCAAACTTACTGATGTTACCGTGAGTGGTGGCCCACATTAATGACCCTAATCCTAACCCTCCTTCCTTCATGAATGTGAGAAATCAATAGCATTTTGCTAACATCACGATCAAAGACCAGTTGTGTGTAAAAGCATCCCCACAGAAATTCAGGAACCTTAGACATTATCTGGCATGTGGGTTTGAATTGTGGCGTTTTTTACACACTTTTGGTCTCATTCTTGGCCCATCAGTCAGATTAGATGGCTCCATCCTCCTGTGAGTTTTGGGAATCCCACAGAGCCGGTTTTATTTTTATTTTAGGACAGTGCAGCTGCGTCTCACACCTGCAGGGGGCGCCAAAGAGGCCTCTCACGGCTTTTTGGCTCCGGTTCAGATATTAAGCTGTTCCTTCCCGTGGAGGTTTGTTATTCCGCCTCTGCGAAGGTGAAACAACAAAGACTTTAAACCGAACACAGACGCGTGTCCAGAAACGGGGAAATCAGCCTCTGGCCCGGAGCCTTTTGGCCTCAGCTCTCCTCTGATAGTTTCTGCTGTCACATTTATTTCAAAATGAAGCCGAGTGTCTTCACGGGCTTTTTTTTAATGGCCTTTGTATTCAACACTCGGGTTTCTCTGTGTCTTTTTCACAAAAAAACGGGTGACATAAGATGTACAGTGAACCCTCATTTTTCGTTTTTATCCAAGTGACAAGCATACAAAAGGACTAAGGGGTTGATGCGATAAGGAAGTTAAATATATAGTTAGTGATTAGCTTTTCATGAGAAGTTATGACCAGCATTGTATGTGTTACAGTGAACCCTAGTTTTTGGCGGGGGTTACGTTCCAAAAAGAACCCGTGATAGGCGAAATCCGTGAAGTAGTAACCTTTATTTTTTTACAAATATTAAACTATAAAATGCTCCATAATACATTTAAACCAAAGAACAAAAACCTTTTTACAGGCCCAAGCATTTGTTTAACAATTTAAAAGTACTGTATAAACGTTTTATTTTTATTTTTTATAAATAACTACTGTACTGTAAAATAATAATTTCAATCATCAATACAAACTGAAGGCTTCAAATTGTGGAGATCAGCGCCGGCCCATCCTTATTAAAACTACTCCTGTTATTTTCCTCTTTCTTTATGGAACGAACAGCAGATTAATTAATCCCGTAATGGCGACCTAAAGCCGCATAGCTTCTACCGTCCTATAGCATGTCCAGAGGTTTGACTTTTTCTGCGATAGTTAGCTTCTTTATCTGCCTTTCGGGCCACACCGCTAGTGCCTTTTTCAACATTACAGGTTTTACGAGAAACTAGAAATTGCTAGAGAATTGGCAAACTTCAATTTAGCAAGCAGTTAGAGAAAAGAAGCTGTTTAGCCAATCAGAATGCAGAACACAATGAATGATGGAAATCCGTGAAGCAGCGAGACCGTGAAAGGTGAACCGCGATATAGCCAGGGTTCACTTTATATGTTATTAACTCATTGACTGCCAAATACGTCTATAGACGTCTTTTATGTTTTTCAACGAGAGTGGCTGGGGGACGATCTGCTAAAGCTTGTCCGTAAATATCGGCTTCTAGACAGAGTATGTAGTAACAAATTGACCCTCTAGGGGGCAGTGCCACTTTTGATGGGAGATGAGCATAGACTGTAGGCAAATAAGAAAAAGGTAACGGTTCGCTATGAGAGAACATGTCGCCGGTGAGACGCAAGTCCAGGAAGAACGGAATAAGGTAGAAACAAAAAAATGTTCCTGATGAAAGAAGAGAGTCTACTCTTTCTTTTGGTGTGTTCGGTGTTTACATAGTCATAGCACAAACTATTCTGTGGCTCTTGAAATATCAGTCAAAATGCCCAAAAAACTCTGGCAGTATGGGACTCTGTTCTGAAAATGGCTGGCAGTCAATGAGTTAATTAACACAATTGTGACCTCCCTATGGCTGACCCCCCGCTGCTTCCTGTCCCGTGTGGCGCTGCAGGTCCATCACCGCGGTAACCACGGCGGCGTCCGGCTACAGCTACTGGCACTACGGCCGCCAAACTGTAAAGATGCTAAACAGCAAATCCCCCTGAGGTCCACCGGGGGGGTCCCCACCCGGTCAGGACGAACTGGGGGACGAGGAAGAGGCGGTGGGACACTTGCGGGTCGCCATGGCGATGAAGCCACAGATGGTTTTTCCTAACGACACTACAGAAGCAGCCGGCGGCGTGGAGCAGAGCCGAACGCACGGAAATAAACAGCCGACACAAATATAACCAGCCTCCACCCACCCACCCACACCCTGA